CAAACAAAATATTCTGTATATTTAATAAACACTCCAGTGAATTTCAATGATGACTTGATACTTGATGATACTGAAGAATTAATGTGTTTATGGAGGATAAGATCCTGTAAATAAGAAAAAGGAAAGTGTCTTTGTCTTTTAGAGACATCAACAATGTATTTAGAGATACAATTATATGGCTGCTAGGATTTGCTTGAACTTAAGTAATTCCTGGAGGAGAACTGGATGCAATTAGACATGAAATGAGTTGAGCCCTGGATTGGTCCTGGTGGAGCTGGGTGGTACATTCACATGGTCTATTATATCACCTCCTCATCTTTTGTAGATGTCTAGAAATTTCCATATTAATGTTTTAAAAAATTCTTATTTCAATATTCAACAAATATTAAGACCTTGTTCTGTATTTGCTGCAACATTTTTTTTCTCCTGGGGCCATAATTGTTTACTGTGTATCACTTAGCCTGCAATTTTCAGATAGCGTTATGTTGAATTGAAGTCTCTTTATATCACTATATTCTATCATTTTCAGAAGCCACGTTCAAAAATTTAAATGCCTTCCCCAATCAGTCAAATCAAAGGAGAGAGGCCAGCCACGTGGGCAGAACTGGAAAACACAGAATGCAAGGCCCAAGGAAATGGGTGGTTGTTCCCACTTCTAACTTTTTGTAAAAATTTGTGTTACCATGTCATCAAATCTGGATTGTTTTTAAAAATATATCCTTAACTTTTACAAAAAACAAATTTCTAATTAAGACCCAAAGCACACAGACAAAATCCATCTACTGTTTAGGTGAGACTTGTTGACTCCCACTTCCAGACCTCAGTAATGGATAAAGCTGTGGTTTGTTAAGGGAGCACTACCTCTGGTACACTTTTAAATTTTTCCAACACTAAAGAGCACCCTTTTAAGTATTAGAATGGTTATAATCGGCAGCATATGAAAATTTTCAGAAATAAGGCCACAATGTTGAAATCCACCATTTTTTAAATTCAATATGCAGTATCTGTGGCAAGGACAATCCAGAAGGCAAAAGTACAACCATACTGAGTTCCGTGGCCATCACACATTTACCTTTTAACCCGTGGAGGTGACTCAGTTGAATAATTGCTAAATCAATCACTAATCAGTAAATGGAATAAAATGAATTATTAACAGTTATAAGAGCTTAGAATACGCACAAATGCTAGGTAAAATGAATAAATTACAGGTTTTTCTGTGTAGAGACAGTGTTATATTTGAAAATATGATGAAAAACGTGCTTTGAGAAAATGTGTGCAAACATATAGAACAATCAGAGAATTAAATAAATATGGAAAATAAATATTTCAAGAAAAGAAGGACTTAAAATAAGATCTAAAGCAATGCAGAGGGGCCAGCCCGGTGGCGCAAGCGGTTAAGTGTACACGCTCCGCTGCGGCAGCTCTTGGTTCTCCGGTTCGGATCCCGGGTGCACACTGATGCACTGCTTGTCAAGCCATGCTGTGGTGGCATCCCATATAAAGTAGAGGAAGATGGGCACGGATGTTAGCTCAGGTCCAGTCTTCCTCAGGAAAAAAAGGATGATTGGCATCAGATGTTAGCTCAGGGCTGATGTTCCTCACAAAAAAAAAAAAAAAAAAAAGAAATGCAGAGAGAAACAATTATCTTGTATGGAATGCTTTGATATTTTAAATATTTTATAAACTAAATATAAATGTGCATAAACAATGTAATTTAGAACTAAATGCAACATCCCCAAATATCTTGTAATAATAAAATAAGAAGAAGAAGAAGAAGAAGAAAGGAAATGAATTTGAATGCAATAGAATAGCTCTGACAAATATTTTTTTAATTACAAATACAGCTTGTTTATACTGAACAAAAGATAGAGAACAGAGAGTCCAAAAAATAATTTTAAGTATTTGAGAGGTCGGTAGATAGGAAAATAGCTACAGAGATAGAGAAGTCGTTAGGTCTATTAATTTTTAAAAAAGAGAGCTAAGACTTAAGGTATAAAAATGTTAGGAAGTTAGTGTATAACTAAAAGTGAGATAAAAATTTGTTGCAAAAAGGTTATTAAATACATGGTATAAAAATATTTGGACACTTACTTAGAAAAACAGCAAATTTCTAGAGCGTGCCATTGAGATAAATAAACATATTCATGTACCGGCACACGAGCACAGTAATTAAAATACCGTAGATTAATCATATAGGAATGTGTGTACTTTTCTAAAACATGAGTTGAGGTCAATACATATTAAGCAATAGAAAAAAAAGGATGGAACCATACAATAATCTAGGAATATTAGAATATATAAACTAGTAGAACTCACATAAAAAAGACAAAATATAAAGAAGAAACAGAATATTAGAAAAAATCTTATATAACAAAATATAAAAGGAAGGCTGTCGATAAGACTTTAAGTGCTCATCCTAAACAATTAGATAAGAGCAGATGTTTTCTAAGCAGAAAAATTATATAAACAAGCTTTTCTCAGGATAAAAAATACTATCAAATATAAAATGTGTTTTTCTCAAAATTATCAGGACATGAGAAATAAATTTGAAAACAGATATAATTTTTCATTTAAAAATAAATTTCTGGGCCAGCCTGTGGCGTAGCAGTTTGGTGTGCGCCCTCTGCTGCTGGCGGCCTGGGTTCCGATCCCGAGTGTGCACCGAGGCACCACTTGGTAGGCCATGCTGTGGCAGTGTCCCACATAAAGTGGAGGAAGATCAGCCGGATGTTAGCTCAGGGCCAGTCTTCCTCAGCAAAAAGAGGAGGATCGGCATGGATATTAGCTCAGGGCTGATCTCCTCACACAAAACAAATAAATTTCTTTGCTAAATGTTTTCTTTTAATAATTTTATTTATTAATTATTTTTCCTCCAAAGCCCCAGTAGATAGCTGTATGTCATAGTTGCACATCCCTCTAGTTGCTGTATGTGGGACGCGGCCTCAGCACGGCCGGAGAAGCGGTGCGTTGGTGCACGCCCGGGATCTGAACCCGGGCCGCCAGCAGCGGAGCACGCGCAGTTAACCGCTAAGCCACGGGGCCGGCCCCGCCAAATGTTTAATTTAGGGTCACAGCTTCACTTTGTATAATGAATCTTCTTTTTAGAACTTTGCATGATCATGTCTAGACAAAATCAATGAATTAATTATGGTTTCTCAATTTGGGATTACTTAAAGCAGAAAGAGAATAGAATCCTTCTGCATTACATTATATTATTAAGTAAACAATAAATTTTTCTAGTCACATTCAATTTGAAAGAAAATTCTATAATCACCTAAAATTTAGATGTTTTCCAAAGAATTCAAATTAAGATTCATCAAAACAAAACTGTCTTTATTTGCAATAATATTTTACTTGTTTACTTTAATAATTAAGTTATTAAATTACAAAAAAGTGATTTACCTGGCATTAAAATTTGGGAAAGAGTAGAATCTAGATGGAGTACAGATTAAAAGAAATAAGTGGTAAAAAAATAAAAATGTTTCTGGAAGGATACACAATAGTGAATAACAGATTAACCTCAGTGTTAGCTATAGAAGATGGAGAGAAACGTGGATGAGAAAAGAACACGCATTTCACGTGTTCTATATGCACAAAAACCTGTTCAAGTTTTTCGTAGGAATAAAATGTAAGGTTTGTAACAAGAAATTGAAAGCGTAGTAGAAATTGACCAACAAATCTAAATGAGAGAGGAGAATGCCCCGTGAAATCATAAAGGAGTCATAAACACAAATTTGAATTATACACAGGCCAGACAATTGAGTAAGAAAGGGAACAACAGAATTTTGGTAAATATTTTCAAACAAGAAAATATCCCAATCCTGGACCACCTGTGGTTGTGGATCTGGGTGCCCTTCAAGAACTGCACTCATTCATGGAAAAACAAAAACCTTTCTCCTTCCCTTCATCAAAGCATTTCCCACAGAGGCACAATTCGGGGGCACCGGGCACATCTTCCTTCCCGCGCAGTGATGGGGAGATGCCCGCTCCACAGCTCTCCCAGCTGGGAACGGTCGAAGCTTTCACTGCTGAAGACCCAGTGGGGCGACAGCTTCAGACGCCACAGCGGGTCTGGAGCAGATGCAGAGGTTCGCAGACCATCACAGCACTTTTATCTGGTTACAGGTCAGAGTTGCAGTGAGACGTTAACACATTTGTAATCCCTGACTACTCCTGCTCCCTAAGCCTGGCAATCTCTCTCACTTTCAAAAAAAATGAGATTCCTATTTCACTACATGGGAGATATAGTTTACCTTCCTCACACTTATCCCAGAAATGTTCTATAGAGATGAAAGTACTGGTGCAAGAAAGTGCATCCTGCTCCACAGAACCCAGAGTAAAGGAGACGGAGGTCTCCAGTTTTGCATTGATCACAGAAAGTTCTCACAGACACACTGTCACAGCCAGCAAAGCCTGACACACCAGCTCAGATGTCATGAGTGTTCTCTGTCGTAGGTGCCACCAGACACCAGGTGTGTACACAGCAGCCAAGCACTGAACACACCAGCAGCATCTTGTCAGCAGGAGTGGGAACGTGAAGGAGGGTGTCTACGCTCAGGGAGAGGATTCCAGAAGGGGGGCTGACAGAGAAGGGGCATGGGACACGTCAGGCGCCTGGGGACAGGAAGGTGGGGGTAGCTCTACCTCTCAGGAACCCTCAGAAAATATCGCTCCTTCATGTCTTTTTCTGTGTTCAGTTTCAACCGGGGGGAGAGGGAGGAGAGCAGTCATGTCTCCCATATTTCTTAGGAGATTTCTAGAGAAACATTCTGCTTTCCTAGGAATCCATCTCTCTGTCTAAAAAGAAGGCCCACTCACCAAATGCCGCTGCTGCTGGGACAGTAGCTACCAAGGTCACAGCCTGAGCACAAGTGCAAAGGCGGCATCTTGTCCCTGCGATGAGGCTGGGGACATAGTGAGGTCACCTCACTGCTGGGGACTGATTATCATTCCCCCTGGAAGTGCAGGGACAGTGTCTCCATGGGGAGCGGAAATTTTCTCAGAAAAACAATTGTGAAATGTGCAAATTACTAACAGCAACTAGGAACAATTTGTCATGATTAACCAACTAGAAAGAGAGAGACTGAGAAACGGGCAGGGAAAAGGTCTTTCAGGGGCCTGGAAAAGACCAGGTGAAAATGACAGGGAGACACAGACACTGAGGTTTGGGGAGGGAGAGAAGGAAGCTGAGAACAAGGCTGCACGTTGTTTCTTGCCAACCTGAGGATTTTGCCTCCGAAATATGATTGTTTTTCAACTCTGGTAATTTTGCACTGCGGCAGCCTGGAAGGGAGAAGGAAAGAAAGGGTCAGCTAGGAACAAAATGCCTGAGGGTTAGAAATGACCTTGGAGAAAGTGCGGACACCTTTCCTCACAGCTTCAGTAGGCACGGGTGAAGCATTGATGTCTGTTCTTGGCGTCTGAGGGGGACCAGGAAAGACGACTTGCAAAGACCTGCCTCTACTAAGCCAATATTATAGTCGAGAAAGATGGACAATAACGAATAATAAAATTTTCAGTATGTTACAAGATGGTAAGTGCCTTGGAATAAAAAGAAAAGCTGGGTTAGCGTATGAGCAGGGATTGAGGGGAGGAAGCAATATCACCTGGATAGTAATGGGTGACCTCATGGACAAGTGACTATTTCAGGCAGTGCTTGAAAAAAGATGAGGAGTAAGCCAGGCAGATCTCATGTGTATATCACCCCAACCCAGGAAGCAGCAGTGTCATGTCCCAGGAAAGCCATGGGCCAGTGTATGAGAAATCAGGCACGGGGCAGAGTGTAAGGAGGAGGTCAGAGAAAAACACGGAAGACCTATAAGGTGGTCTAGGTTTCTATAAGAATTTTGAATTTTCTCTAAGTAAAATGGGAGCCATTACAGGGTTTGACCAAAATAGACACTATGTGATTCACTCGTTGAAAGGTTCATTTTGACTGGTGAGTGGAGAATATGCTGCAGAGAAGAAGGGGAGGAAGATGGAAAACAGTCAGACAACCAATGAGCAAACCCAGGGAAGAGAACATGGTGGCACTGTCCAGGCTAGTTGCAGAGACAGTGATGGAAAGTGGTCCCACTGTGGATACATTGTGAAGACAGAGCCAGCAAGATGTCTGTAGGACTGGATGTGGGGAGTGAGAACAAGAACGAATCAAGGATGGTCCCCAGGTTTGTGGACTCAGCAACAGGAAGGATGAAGTTGGCCTCAGCTGAAGGCGGGAAGGCTGTGGCCAGGGCAGCTCATATTCCTGTGAAAATCACACACCAAGTTGAAAAATACTCCTGAGTTTGAATGCATATTTTACGCCCAATTAAACCATAGTAGGTAGTTGCATAATGTCCTGTTTAACTGTCATACCATATTATGAACATCTTACCTTCAATTGAAAGTGTTATGAATGTGTTATTCCTTTTTTAAATGGTGAGACATGGTGTTAAGCTTCCATCTGCAGCCTCACCCCTTACCAACATCTCCGTGCACAGAAACTTTTAGCCTCCTATCTCTGCTCACCTTCCCTGAATATTCTATGTATCTGCATTTGTGTGCATTTTCATATCTGCTCATCTCTTCCCATAATGCTCAGTGAACAAATGACACCCCGTGTGAAGTTCTGTGGCTACAGCTGTGGAGAGAACAGACACAGAGCCTTTGCTCCCACGGACCTCCCATGCTGGAGAAAGAGGCAAGTGTGATGAAACTGGTACCTGCCCTCCATTCTCCCTGAGGATATCTCATCTCTCCTCCAAGGTCACCACTGAGAACCCTTCTCTGTTACCCAAGTCTTCACTAACACTTGCTGTGCCCTCAATGCTCCCATAACATCCCAATATCCATCATTTAGTGCAGCACCATGTTATGATTATTGTGATCTTCCTACTCAACTGGTCCTTGGGCAGTGCATCACAGCCTCCCCATTGCCACAGAGCTCCCAGGAGGTGTTTGTGGTATATGAAGGAAGACAGCAAACTCTTTGCTATTCCTCCCATTGAAAAGTGAGTCTATTTCATCTCACCCTGAAAGTGGATGACTTGTTTGACCAAAAGAATTGGTGGATGTAATTTTTTTTTTTTTTAAATATCTGAGAACAAGACACAAAGAGTTTGCAGCTCCTGCATGGGTCTCTTGAAACACCCTGGGCTGCCATGTAAGAAGTCTACCCAGGTGTAAGTGCCCTGGTTGAAAGTTCCCGCTGAGCCCAGCCTTCCAGCCATCTGTAAAGAGGCACAGCAATGTGAGTGAGGTCATCCCAGACCCTCTAAACCAACCCACACACCACCCGAGTATCGCCAAGTGATTTCCACTGATGCCACATGGAAGAGCAGACTCACCCAACTGAGCCCTGTTTGATTTTCTGACCCCAAAATTGTGCGAGTTAAGGCATTGTTTGATATTTGAAACCACTAACATTTGGTGTCATGTTTTTATGAAACAATGTATAGTGCATAAGTATTGTATTGTATAGTATAGTATAACAACTGTATTTGCAATATATACCGCAAAAGCAATGAATTCTTTTCACCCACCTAATTCCTAACCTCCTCCAAGGACAAGTGGATGTCCAAAACTCTTCTTACTAAGTTCTTTCACAGACTCACTTTTCCCTCTGGGGATCCCGCATGGTCCAATGAGCTCACAGAAAATGAAGAACTTACCTGACAGGTGAGGTTCTCTCCTTGAGAATTCAGGAGAAAAGAACAATTCTAACTTGGAGAAATGTAGACGTCTGAACTCTCCTGACTCTTTTCAGTGCCCCCTTAGACCTCAACATCCTTGAATATATTCAGGAGTCTCTGTCTCTCAGCCATTGCAGAGACCAGCCCTGGGGGACGACTCTCCTCCCATCCCCACCCTGGCAGGCAGAGCTTATCCTCACGATGCAAACTATTGGACAAGTCAACCAGCAGACCAGGCTTTATGGTCACCTGGAGGTGGGAGTGAACAGCGCCCTGTGGCCCCTGACCAAGGCCTGTCTTTGGAGGCAAGTGCCCATGTTCCCTCAGCGAAGGCAGACACGGCCTTCATCTGGGAGGCAGGAGTGTGAAGGAAACTTGCTTGGGTGTCAGGAGACCTGCTTTCTGGCCTCAGGCCTGACACTTCCAATTTGTGTCACAGTGGGTAAGTCCCTTTTCTTCTCTCCCACACAGAGGTAGCCCTTTCTGTGACTGTGTCCCATTTTGGACAATGAGAAGATTAGGCTGTTAATTCTGGGGATCATTTAAACAAGCTAAGAGTTTTTTCCCACTTCATTGAGGCATGATTTAAAAACAAGAAAGTGCACCCATTTGAAGTATACAATTCTTTGAGTTTTGACAAGTGTTTGCACTTGTGTAGCCACCACCATATTCAAAACATAGAACCTTCCTGTCTCCCTCAACATTCCTTGTATCACACTGCTGTCAGTGTCCCCAACAACCCCAGGCCCAGATGGCCACTGGTTTGATTTCTCTCATTAGGTTTCTGTTACCTTTTCAAACATGCTATAAAAATGGAATATATACCATGTGTTTGGCTTATTTTACTTAGCATGATGTTCTTGGGACTCCTCCACCCTGCGGCATTTAGCAATAGTTAACTCCTTATTGTTGATGAGTAGTATCTCATTCTGTGGACAAAACACATTTTGTTTATCCCTTTACCTGTTTCAGAAGATCTGGTGTGTGTCCAGATTTGACTAGTATAGAGTAAAGCTCCAGGCAGTGATCACGTTTATTCACATTCATTCAAGAAATGAATGTATAAACAATTAAATACTATGTTTTGGCCAGTTCCTAGTCACATATATCGAGACCCTAGACGACAATGGTGAGCTCTGTGCACATCAGGACGCAGAGCTAGTGATCAGTAATCCTGGACAACAGTCCCCAACCCCTTGGTTCAGTGACAATTATCGCTTGCTCTGTTTGCCAATGAGGATTTCCTGTATTTTGCAGATGTTGCCTTGAGGTGACTCTGGCCAGTCCAAGCGGCATGAGCCGGGAAAGACTGATGGCTAATAAAGAATCCACTTTCAAGAGAGGGCACTGGCTTGACAGGCATTTTGGTGCTGAGGGATGGCTGGACTCTGAGCCAGTGTGCTGGGCAGTGTCTCAGATGGCCCCTGGCTGACAGTGTGGAGGAACCAGGCCAACACCCTGAGATCCAGGGATGGGTACAGGCACATTCCCTTTGATCCTATTCCATCCACAACGGAAATCTCATGACCAAGCTAGAAGGAAAGACGGGAGTGTGAGCGGGCAGGCATAGGCCCCGGAAGGGGTGAAACTGTTAGTAGAAAATTTGCAGTCTCCACCACATTTTGTTAATTTTATCCTGAGGATCAGTAATTGTTTTCAGTTATAATGCAAATAATGTTTTTAAAAATTTCCTTTTCGGCCTTATGATTCTCATTTGTGGAAGTGTAATTTATTTTTTGATACTTATTTCATATATGGCAAACTAGATTGATCTGTCACAAATACTGCAGATATTCATGACGTTAGTTTTTGAAAAATTTCTATGTAGATAATCACAGAATTTGAGAGAAATTACAGTCTGTAAATGGTATTCCCATTATTTTAATTCTTTTTCGTCTGTCATAGCCCCAGCTAGAATGTCTCATATGATATTTAGTTTAAGCACTAATAATTACAGCCTTGTTTCGTTGCTAATTTAAAAACAAATATTTCTGATATCTTCTTACTAAAATTCAGGTTTATTGTAGTGTTTTCGTTGATAAATGTCAACTAGTTAAAGGTGTATATTTCTATGCACAGTCTGGTGTTTTTTTCTAATGTGAATTGATTTGTATTTTACTTTTCCTGCATTTATTAAGATAGTCACACAATGTTTACAATCCCTTAACATGTTGAGTGCTATTAATGCATTTTCCAATAATAAACCATTTTTGAATTCCTGAGATGCTTTCACCTTGTACTACATTCTGTAAGCATAGCTGAATTTAATTAACAAGTTTTACAACAATGTTATTCTAGCACCATAAAATGAGCTGGGGAATAGGAATCTCTGATAGATTTTGAATGTTTGGATACATCCTTTCATCGAATGATTCATGGAACTCTCTGTCTGTAAGTCTGTCAGAATCTGGGATTTTTCTCTTGGAGATTATTTAAAAATAGAAAGTTTCGGGGGTGGCCTGATAGTGTAGTGGTTAAGTTTGCCTGCCCTGCTTTGGCAGCCTTGGGTTCCCAGGTTCTGATCCTGGGTGCAGAGCTATGCACCGCTCATCAAGCCATGCTGTGGCAAGCGTCCCACATATAAAGTACAGGAAGATGGGCATGGATGTTAGCCCAGGGGCAATCTTCCTCAGC